GCAGATAAACGAGGTCTCTATGCGCTCGGGACTAGATATTGCACTTTTCAGTAACTTTCTCCTCCCCTGAGGGTTACTTCATGTCCACCTCAACTGGTGCACTTTATCTGTCCACGACAGGGGCCGAGTGAACCAGTACACCGGGGTAACCCCATACTCATCTCAAAAGATGTACTGGGTTCTTTAAAGTGCACATGAGCATTTGTGTACACTGGGCCTAATGTTTATAGTCCTTATCTGAGAAGACTTGTTCCACCACCAGAACTATAGGAGCGAGCCGGCCGCGAATATGTGCTGATATTGTTGGTTATGATCCAATGTGCCCCTGCCTTAACCGCTCGGCCATTTGGTTCGCTCGACCTTCAGCTGTATTGGGAATTGAACTGGGGACCTAGCAGTCTCCACGGTTTAGCACACACACACACACACAGTGTTACCACCAGTGTAGCCAACTGAGCTACAGTAGGCCTAAGCTGCTTTCATACACTACTACATTATGTAGGTCTATAGAATCTAAAACACTATGTTCTTTTACCTTTTCTTAAAGCTCATAAATCTGCTGTAGTATATTGACCTGTCTTAGGCCAAAAAGATATAGATTTTGTTGCACAAGCACAGTGCGATTTTGAAATTACTGTAGGGTTTGGTCAGTCGGCAATTATTAATTAGTTTTCCAGCCTCATGCACTGTGAGTTTCTGTTCAAAACCGTTTGCATTTTGAATTTGTGAAGTTTAACCAAATTGAGAATTGTGCATGAGAATTACTTTAAAATTAGAGGAGGGGGAAGACTTTTACTTGATGAACTATAGTACATGAATCTACTAGATTTTTTATGCCAATTTCCAGAGAAACACTTTTATTTTATAATCTGATTGTTTATTTATGACCTTTGCTTTCTGATTATTTTTATCAATCTGTAGTTTATGCAGTAACTGTACTGTACAGTAGGCCAACATTTAAATTTTGTATTGGTTTGTGTAATGCAAGTAAAGAGTATAAAATTGTTTGTTTAGGTTAATTGCCTATTCTGGCAAATGATCTAATAATAATAGCAATAATAATAATAATAATAATAATAATAATAACAATAATAATAATAACAATAATAATAATAATAATGATAATAAATCATTATTATTATTAATATATTAACAATCTGAGGTTTACTACACTAGAGCTTGCAATAATTAGTGTTTCTTCAAAGAGTTTAGCCTCACAGTGTCAGACCATCTAAACTAATTCCTCCATGGTCAGACCCGGGACCTAGACAGACACACTCTCAGTTGTTTGTTAAAATTTGTTTGGATAATTTCCAGACACCGGTATGTTAAACAACTCAATTACTGTAAAAACAACAAAACAGATATGGATTTCCTCACATGAAAAATAATACCGGAAAATCAAACAGCCTTGTTCGGTATACAATCAATACAGGTTATAGTCGAGTTGTAATTACTAATTGATTGGACTAATTTGTTTAATATGTTCACATCACTACTTTGTAAATCAATAGGTTTTGCCATTAACAAAGCTTTTCAATTGTTTCCGTTGTTATACTTATAAGAAATTAAATAGATTACTATGTACAATGTTATCTATTAAAAATAAAAAAAAAATCAATACAAGTTTAGTGTTAATTATCTCAACAATCATGTTAAATGGTGTAATTGCTTAAAAATGGCATTATGATTTCATCATGTAACATTATGTAATTTAAAAATTATTTATTACCAACAGTGCAGGACCTGACTTTGACTTCACAGATGGTTAAAAATAAACATTAAAAGAAATCCCAAGTTCTTAAGATGTTTACACTTCAGAGACCCTTTTTTGGTTACTGGTATGTGTTCAAATAAAACAATAACAGTACTACTATAATGATAAAAATAACAAATACACTTTCACCAGTGACTGGAAGTGTTTCTTTCATTTTCTGCTAAAAAATTATGATGAGTAAACACTTTATACACTTAAATTTCTATTCAAGTAGATATTTTTTATGTTACAGTACAGGTACTTCAAAATGAGCAAGGTAATTTGAAAATACATGATATATTTGATATTTTCAATGGGACAATACATCTATTAAAAATTACTTCAGCATTCAATGCTTCAAAACTAAATAAAATATCAATACAGCAAGCTAAATATCTATTTCTCGTTATTTACTCTTTTCTATTATTGAAAGTCAATTGCAATTCTGTATTGTGAACACTACATTAGTGGTGGCTGACACTGACGGTAACAAACACAAGTTGATCATGACAATTAAGCTGATGAGCCCATTGTACCCATATTTAAACCATGGAGTAATTCCTCCATGATTTAACTACAGGTATTTCTTTTACACTGACCAGACAATGATCAACTTAGGCTTGAGTAGACATGTAAAGTAATTAACATATTTTGAAAAGGCCAACTATGAAAGTCTGTATTCAATTGAAAGATAAATTTTCCCTACAGTTGGTACTGTTTGTACTACTGTCAAACTGTATTGTCCTGTGCTTACGGTTTGCATCGGCCGATCCACTTAACAATACCATGTACTGTAGGCCTACTGTGCATAGTACAAATCAACCAATAAAGTAGGAAAAAAATAATAAATTACTGTTATTGATTATATAGTTAATATTTTTATTTATAATGCCAAAGGGCAATGATTTGACTGTGGTGATTACTGATTAAAGACAATTTTGTGTCAATATCAAAATGATATAAAAGTAAATAATACCAAAAAAAACTTTGAAGATTAACACCTTAATATATTTTAAGTCAGACTTGCAGTGTTTTTATGAATTTTTATTAACCCTTTGGCTTGTTAGCTTATTCTTCAGTATGGCGTCATAGACTTATTCTGTTGGAGAACGAGTCACTTACAGTTTGTGTGGTGAACTGTGAGCATATCAGATCATGTTCAAAAAGATAAATTGTAAACCCATGAATTATGATAATAATAATAATAATAACAATAATAATAATAATAACTTTATATCCATTTAAAATATTCATAGGTGCTGTAGAGAATTTTAAATAAGAAATCTACAAAAAATCAGTACACAATATAAAATACATTAAAAGTTAAATAGAAAATTGTGACATAAAAAAGCATCGCAATACAATTTAACACATCAAAAACCTACAGTAAAAAAATGATAACATACTAAGATTTAAAAACAATGCAACTTGACAGAAAACAATAAAAGACTAACAATTTTTTTTAGATTTTTTAAAAGAAAAACATAAGATAAGATCACCAAACCATTACGAAATGATGAAATTACATAGAATGAATGCATGACTCTCCCCATACATGCAACAATTTCAGCTTTTTTGTTTACATTCAAAACTTAGTACAGTAATTGTCACATGTCTATTACAGTGCAGGATTTTAATGATCTTTTTATGAGGCATTAAGAAACAAAACAGAATGCAAGAAAATTTTGATAATCATGAGTCATTCCATGCCAAATATAAAAAGGACCTGGGGAAGCACTCATCTTGGAACATGTTCAAATTTTTAGGGTTTGTATTACCTTAGTGTAGTGAACTGTTTACATATTTAAGCTGAATGTTTATTATGAGTCTTCATTCAGCTTTCCCCTTTGATTATAAACTGCAATTTTATAGTTTGTAAGTTTAATAGTGTTTATCATTTTTTTGTATGTGTAGAAAATTTGATTCTTGACTAAAATTTCTGATTGCCTCTTTCCTGGCAAATATGTATCTTTGGAATGCCAATTAAATGTTTTTCAATAAAAATTCAAAAATTTGAGCATGACCTGATCAATATTTCTGAGGTTTAGTTGTCAGAAAAAGTGCTTTAAGTGAATAATAAAATACAGTATGTTGTGTTATGCAGAGATCAGAATGTGAATTTCAAAATTACATTGAGAACTAAAGAACCAAAACGACAATACTGGCAATTTGTTTGTAGTATTGTTGTAACCAAAATTAATTATAAGATAATGATCAGCTGATACTAACAAAATGTGGGTGAAATAACTATAATGGATATCCAGGAGGACCATGATGAGTAACCCAATTCTGTACTGCATGGCAATCCCAAGTTTATAATTGCAATACTTTGTGATATCGATGTCCAGTCTCAATTTTATCGACAGTACTGCATACCATGTAGGTATAAAATTCTCTAGTGGTATAAGGTTATTGGTTCACCTCATACGAACCTCATTTTAAAAAAATAAAATACAGTACAGGCGTAATATATCAACAATGTTGAACATTTTATATTTAAAAAGTAAAGAAGATCAATTTTATTTGCATGTAGTCCCTAATAACTCTGTCTAGTGCACATCACTAGAAGGTTTGTTATGAGTTGAAAGCACATTAAGTGTAAGTTATTTGACCTTTCTGCATCACTGCACTTAAGTCTGACATTTTTAGCCTACCACTTACACTTAATGGACCATTTTGCAGCCAGTCACTTTCACAGAAAGATTAATGTGTTGATCTAGAAAGAATATTAATAGCACCACCAATTGAGGTGAGTTAAAAGTTGGTCAGTTGGCTCACAGAACAATAGACCGAATTAGTCACACGACGACGAGGCTATGCAAAAATGTTCAAGATTTCCATTTGTTTCTTTCACTCCATTTTAAATCTAACACCTCAGAATTCTGCTGTTCATTAAAGGATATTTACCAAGTCTTTTCGATAAGTTAGTTCATGATATTGTAAATAAACAAGTTTGAGGAGTTTAAAAACTGTCGAAATTGAACTGAGCAGAGACTCATAATTATGTGAAAAAACTGCCACCTAGCGGTTTGTTTTGCTGTAACTAATACCCATTTGAGCAGCTTTGTTTTGGTGACTATTCGATCTATTGATTGGAAGCAGAACTTGTCCAAAAAATGGACCATAATAAAAAATAGGTTTAATATACAGTAGTCTTACAGAATGATTTCAATTTGGAATATTATTTTGCATCTGAAAGAGGCCAGTGCAAACATATACAGTACATAAATACAGTTAAACTTACCATCCAAATGCTATGTAGGCCACTATAATGCCAAAAATAATTTGTGCCAAATGCCTGGTGTTGGCACTGGTTCGCCGGGGATGTAAAACCCATCGGAAGAAGTATGAGAAGGCTAATGCTAGGAGCTGACAAAATATAAAATTGATCTGTAAAAGAAAAAAAATGTCAACACATTAATCATTTTTTTTGACATCACAAAATGCAATTTTGTGATTGTAAATTCATTTTCTTTAAAAAACAATAAAATTAAACCAGTTTTTATATAATACTTACAACATTCTTGACATTTAAAAACAGTCCCTCCCTCATCGATAAAAAAAGGCAATATTCTATTGTTCTATAAAAAAAACAAAAACAAAAACAAAAACCGCCTACATAACGTTTTTTTTTTTAAATATTGATAATCTAATAATTTTTCCTATAATATTCTATTGTTCTAAATAAAAACAAAAACCGCCTGCCCTCATAACCTTTTTTTGTAAAAAAAATATTGACAATATTAAATAATTTTTTCTATGTGCCCTAAAACTTGCAAGCTCATCTATTCTAAGCCAGATTCTAAGTATTGTTCACAAATCCTTCCCACATTGTCAAAAACTATCCAAAAGTAACCTGTAATTTTTTTAATATGGAAAAAGATCTAGTTCCATTTTTGTAGATGAATGGAGGTATTAAACCTTTAAAATTACAATAGGTACTGTACTGTAGATAAAACAATTTACAAATTGCACAGATATCCTCAATACAAGGTTACAGTATTAAGTGGCCATCAGAAATCAAATACCTGTATGATAAAGTGTGTTTTTTTAGTCTTTAATTTTGACTAAGAAGAAAATTAAATAAGTTTCAGAGCCACTAGGGATCATAGGCCTTGAGCTTATTATCAACGTTTCTGTAGAGTGAAGTGGATGAGAGTGTGATACTCTCCCTGGGTGGGATGGTGGTCTACCACAGGTTACTCCCAGCAATTTGCTGGTACCTATTGATACAGCCGGGTAGACAGAAGCAATGTAGGTAAAGTGTCTTGCTGAAGGACAAAAGTGAAATGCACAGGGAAGGATTGAAACCCCCAACCTGAAGGATGGGAAACCAAACCATTCCTACTCTACTGCACCAAACATAAACTATACCTTGGTCAAATCAAATCACTACTTGCACTCAGATTTAAATATTTAAAGAAAATAGTAATGTTTTGCACACGTGTGGACAGAATCAAAGGTACTGTTTAGCCCCTTTTTTCACTCGCCGTTAATTTTCGCGATAAAATGACGATCGCGAATATTTAGGGCGTGCAGAAATCGCAAAATTCTGGATGATGAGTTTTGTCTTCGAAAACCAGGCTACCGGCCGAGCTAGTATAAAACTGATATTCCTGCAATGAAGATTTCATGGAAACGTTCATTGCTCCTTCGTGTATTACTTTTCACTCATTCGATAACATTTTAAAAGTTAAATACAGTATTATATAAAAGCTGAATGTCATATTCTTATTCTGAAATTGTTAAGCTTTCTTGGCTTGGCCAGTACTGTACATCATGCTTTACATCACACTTCACACAGTAAGAGGTCTAGTACCAGCATGGAGTAACTCCATAGTACCAGTGGTTGTCTATTACACTACTGTAGCTAAGCTAGGTATGCCCAGGGAGTTGTTATAGTGACTATAACAACTCCCTGGTATGCCTAACTTAATGGAATATGGTATTTCTTATACAATATGGATATTTCCCATTAGTTGAAAATATTTTTATAAAACATATCAATTTCTTCTTTGTTACGAATGTTAGGCCTATCCTGCCGTTTGTTTGAAAAACCTTGGTAAAGTCAGCTGGCTGGCAGGCTGAAGTATAGTACTGGTAGCTGAAGTAGGCCTAGGCCTACAGTACCTATGGTAGCAAGCCTAAAATCGGGAGGGTAGAAGATTGCAAAAAAAATCGGAAAAACCCAAACAAAATCAGGAGCTCTAGCTATAATATAGGCTAAAAGAACACAATGATACTGCAGGTTTCTGCATCATGTTAAAAAATGGACTGGAAATCGTAAAATTGTGAAAATAAAAAGATGCAAAATATCTCAAGTTGTAAAATCGAGAAAATATAGGGCGAAAAAAAAAAAAAACAGGGCTGTATAGTAATCTGTGAAATGTACAGTGATGTGCACACACTCAGAACTATAACGGAGTTGCACTGTTCGCAACATGAACTCCAGCAAGTTAAATTGGGAAGGTCTCCTATACTTACAGTAAGCTTTGTTATTAACAAACACACTGTAAAATTAGATAATTTATGTCAGAAGGTAAACAAACTATGTTTACATTAACACCCATTGCTTATGTATATTAATGTTCGAAGACATGATTTATATCTACGGTATATTCAAGAAAATAATTTCCAGGTGTGGTCATAAGCGCTTCTGTAGAAATAACATGCATCATTTTTAAATCAAAACAGTTGTAAATTTATTGATTAGGATCTAACTATTTACAAGTAGTGAGCTCTGACGTTCTTAAAATAACACACAACTAGTTAAACATTAATTATTTCAACCAATATACGAGCTGCATACTTTGCTTACTTAGATATTGGATTTGGAAGAATGACATCAGTAACATGAATACTGTAGTTATCAGTATTCCTAGGTAAATTCAATGGTGAATACCAAGTGTGTTATTTTTGGCCATAGAGTCAGCAACAGGTTTATATGCAAATTCAATTCTGTTAATATTCCAATAAAAGGTGCTTACTGAAGAGTGGTGCCTATTCCAAAAAAATTGTACTGATGGTACATTGTACGAAGGCCTATTTAAGACTTGTTTTTATTGAGAGTGAGATGGGGGCTATTTAATAGGCGTTGGACTTTCTATCGGATGGTTATATACTTCGATACCGATGCTTATCATACTGTTTGTGTTCTTGGGCAAGACACTTTATTTGCATTTGCTTCTCTTTACCCAGGACTATAATGGTCTGGTAGGTGATGAATGATTCGGAATGAAATTAGTGTTTATGGTATAATGCATTCACAACTTATCACTTATTATTATAATTTATTATTATATTATTATTTATATTATTAATTATTACTATTATAATGTTATTTATTTTTATTTAATTATTTTTATTATTATCATCATTATTATTATTCCTACTGTATTATTTGACAATCTTTTGAGAGCGTAACCTAACAGCAGTGCTGACTTAAAGAGGCCCTCTATCAAAAGTGGAGTTGAATACCTTGGTGTTTATGGGCACATTAAAAATAATTATTACAGTAGATCACTCCCGTCTGCGTCAAACCATTTTTTTCCCCCGCATCATTTATTTCAACAGCATAAAAAAAAACAATGCAATATTGTGACTGGAAATACATTTTCTTTAAACAACAATAAAATTAAACCAGATTTTATACAATATCTACAATATTCTTGCCAAATAAAAACAGTCTCTCCCTTATATATACAAAAAAGCAATATTCTATTGTTCCGATTAAAATCACGTCTTGAAAAAAAAATAGAGTGATATCTAATAATTTTTTCTATGTGCCCTAAGATGCTCACCTTCCAATCCCAGGGTTCTGGGTTCAATTCCTATCACAACCAAAACAACTCCATTTTCTAAGACTCATAATGAGACTTAGTTTATGTGGAGCATCTTTTTTTTCATTCCTGATGATGACATAATTAATGTCGAAATATTGAATCCCAACACGATGGCATGTATTTCAATACTTGGAGTATGTATTATACTTTCTTATTAGAGCATCTTATGTTTATGTGAAGGGATGCCACTTAAAATAGTGATTAGGTTTGCTGATTGGCATATCCTTGGACTTTGGCCTAACCCAATTTTTAAAAAATACATAAAAAACAATTCAAAAACAGATATAAAAAATCTAACTACAATTAAATAAATAATGAGAAAAGTTTTTAAATATTCTTTAGTTAAAATCATTAAAATTGCAAGAATAATAAAATTACACAGTAAAAATTATTGAAAGTGCAAGAAAATGGATTGTATTCTAAAACAGGGAACAATTAAAAAATTATTAATTATATAAAATAGCTCAGTCAGTAAATTCAAATGTGTGTCGTTAATTGGAGAAATCAGAAAATAAAAAGTTTTTCAGATTCCTGGTATTTTAAAAATACCTTGAATTGTGATATTTACTATTTAGAAATTTAGGCTACAGGTCACTGTCCTCAATTTAGATAGTTTTTAAAAGGCTATTCACAAAGTATAAATTAAAGTATCGTAATACACGTTCATACACCACAGTACACTAAAAAGTTGGTATGGCTAGAGTTGGTTTTGGGTTAACAAAATGTTGGTTTTGTTCATATAAATAAAGTTGTATGTTAGGTTGGGAGGAGTTGGCTTTATAGCTCATGTTGGTTTTGCTTGTGACTGTGAAAAATTTATCCTTGGCTATTTATAATTTATGCATATGCCTGGTGTAGTAGCTACCCTTAGCTTAATAACTAGTTACACAAGTTATGATAGGCATAGTCCTAGGTAGGGTCTACAAAATAAAGGAAAGGTCTAGGCCTATAGTTACACCAGGCTTTACTTTTATAATTTTATAACTGGCCTATTATTAAAAAAAGTAAAACATTTATGATCTCAACAACAACAGCATAAAACAATAAAAAAAACCTTTTGTTCCACCACGTATTATTATTATTATCCCCATGCATACCAGCCTAAACTATACATACAAACAGAAAAATGTATGGGCGGGGCAGACTTTCCTAGGCCTAGGCCTTTTTAATCTGAAACACAGGTGTTCAGAACTCTCCCATGCGATGATTATGGCATTTCGCCCCGTAGCCTAGGCCTGAATCACAATGCTCACGTACGCATGGTTGGTTGGACACGCGTATACACACGAAGTAAACATACACAGCTAGCTAGAAACCAACGAACACGGCGAAAATGTTACTCAATGTAAATCCTATGGATAATACTTACCTCGACATATCTAAGTTTAAATTTCACAGAAATATCTTTCAAAAAAGGAATCTCGAGCACCATCTTCGCTCGTAATTCCTAGTCCTTAAATCAACAACAACCAGGCCTAAGCTAGGCTTGATTTATCAACACACTGATATCAATCAAGGGGGCGGCTATCTATCTCCACACACAAGGATAAAATCATATCCGACGTAGGGCGAACAAAGTGTATTCTGATTGGAGCATGGCCACGAATCTACTTGTTTGATAGCCACGCCCAATTTAATGTGCAATTTATACTTTTCATTTTCTTCATTTTCAAAACATGTCCCTGTAACATTGAGTAGTGAGAATTTGAAAAATATTATCATAGGAATATGAAAAAATATACTTGGAAACTTACCCTACTCTAGGCCTATAGTGTATTATTCTGCCAATGCCCAGTACGCCCCTACTCGGACTATCTATTAAGGACTACAAAATACACTTCCTTATGCAAATAAAATATTTATATTATACATTATACGAGACAAATTCTGAATATTTTGACCATCACCTTTACGAATAAAATATTCAATGATTAACAAACAAGAATATAATTATGTTAAATATTATAACATTTAATAGTATACCGAGTTGGGGCATCGTTATACACGCCACCACACGTGATAGCGTTCGCGCGAAATACAATTTCGCGGGCTTCATTATATTTTTAGCCGGCTGAGTGATTATAATTTCTCAGTCAGCAACTGTTCCTTGGGCCTACAGGAAACGGGTTCTGTGGGTGTTTTAAAAGTGAATGTTTGAATTACTTTTTTTTTGTTATTAATCACTCAGTAATAATTGTTATTATAGCTGAGTAACTCGCTCCTTAGTTGGTTGTTGAAGCAACTTGTTCATCAGTAAAATTAAAGCTTAGGCTAGCCCAAGCCTATTTCAATGTCTCTTCAATTCAATTACTGAACCCAAGCTAACAGCAGTCATTGTTCGGAACCGGGAAGAAAAGGAAGATCATCTTGCTATCGTTCGTTGTATCTTTTTTGGAAAATGGAGACTTTTTCGCCCTCTAAACTTTTTCAATTTCAAAACTTACCATCGCAAATTCAGAGCTCTGATCTAATTGATGATGATCTTGTAGATGTCGTTGGTTACACACCCAATCCTTTAAAAAGCGGCCAAAGTTTCGGGACACGTCCCCAGCTTGGGAGACCACCGGTAAGAACAGTAGTGAATTTGTTTAGTCTAGACCCAGGCCTAGCCTTCATTTGTTAATTTAAATTTGCCTGTTGTAATCTGTAATTTCAATGTTCTAGGCATAGGCGGCCTATGTTATGCTAGTCTACAGTAATGTCTTTGGTTGATTATTTAAAAAATAATCTAGGCTAGGCCTATACATACACAGAGAATAGGCCTAGACGTAGGCCTATCTAATTTTTATTGTGTTTAGTTAGGCCCTAGGCTAGGCTTTTTTTTTCAATGGTAGGTAGGCCTTTCTGCAAAAGCAAGAATAAAAACCCCAATAAGTTTGGCCTAGGCCTATATGTGGTGGTATTGATATGATTTAAAAGAACGTAGAAAATAAATAAAATAATAAAGCAGCATTTCAAAATAAAGTAAGTAGGCCTAGGCCTTGCCTATAATTATTATTATTGTTATTGTGTTACTAACACCTACCTCAAGTGGAGAAATTAGAGAACAATTAAAAAACCAGTTAGTTTTTTTTAAAAGGGGAAAAAAACACAAACGATATTCGATTTAGTGTAATAATAATAATAATAATAATAAATAATAATAATAATTATAGGTTAGGCCTACTTACTTTATTTTGAAATGCTGCTTTATTATTATTATTATTTTACTAAATTGAATATCGTTTGTGTTATTTTCCCCTTTAAAAAAACCAACTGGTTTTTTAATTGTTCTCTAATTTCTCCCCTTGAGGTAGGTGTTAGTAACATAATAATGATAATAATAATAATTAATAATAATAATAATGAGTAAATTAGTTTCATCTGGTTTCAAATAGAAATAAATATGTATAATTTGGTTTATCACAAGGAATTATACATATTTATTAATAATAATAATGATATTTTATAATAATGATTTAAAAATAAATTCTTGTTTAATGCTGGTATATTGGCTTGTGTATCAGTTTTTCAGAATGTATTTTTGCAGTGTAATGTATTAGCAGAGACTAAAGTCCAAACTGCATTTCATTGAGATTTTATACTTATTTTAGATAAAATAATTTGGTTTTCCAGATTTCACCACAGCTAGCCATGCAAGTGTTTTATTCTGTAATAACTAAAGATAATCATGTTTTAACTACCAGGGGTGGATCTAGGATTTGAAAGAGGGGGTTCAAAATGTTTTCAAAATATCAAAAATTGAAAGGGGGTCCTCCCCTGGAAAATGTTGATTCCCAGATGGCTGGAAATGAGCTTTCCCGACTTCTGAGGTGTCTTTTAATTACCTTTAAGTTCTTCAAAATTCAAGGTTCCCCCCCCCCCCTCTTGAAAAAGGTTAGGTAATTTTATCTCATTCTTAGGCCTATACACATGGAAAGAAATTAAGGACATTGGCAATATTATTATTATATTACAACAATATTGAGTTGCTTGATAGTTACGTAGTCTTTCTTCCATATATCGATGAACTGATAGGCCTGAAGAACGCCCTTTTGTACATAAATTAATACGATGTTGAACCAACAACAGTGTTTTTAATTCTATTTAATTGAAGGCTAGGTAGGTAAGCATGCATTTTGTAAGCCAGGACCCAGTAGTATTTTGTTACTTTTCTTCACAGAGGGGGCTCGTCTGAACCCCCATGGTTCCTCTACTGACTACTGTACAGTACATGTAGTACCTTTTAAATACTAAGATTACATTTGACTCACTGCATGATATTGCTGTATATTTACAGGCAAAGAGAAAATTGGAATTGGACTCAACAGGTTTTGATACTGAATCCAGTTCTGGCTCGCAAGGATTCAAAACACCAAGTCCTAAGATGGCACGGAAAAAAGCAATGGGAGCTCAGAGAGGTTCTGCTTCAAAAGGTATTGTTCAATCTTTATCATCAACATATTTAATTACATTAAAGATTTGCAAATAAAATATATAGATTTTATTAAATATTGCTTTGGGAGTAAGGAACATAACTTGTTCTTTCACTTTTAGGTTCCTGTCTGCTCTCTGAGTTGACTGTTATTGTGTTTGTTTTATGTTCTTGATTTTGGCAATAAAGGATAAAAATAAGAAATAATTAACTAATTGATAATAAACCTTTTTGATTCTGAATTCTTTTGGATTATTTCCCTAGTTAAGTCACCAGCGGAGAAGACTAGGTATGACACTTCATTAGGACTGTTGACCAAACGTTTTGTGACACTTCTTCGAGGAGCTCCAGAAGGCGTTTTAGATCTTAACAATGCTGCAGAGATTTTAAATGTTCAAAAACGGCGAATTTATGATATAACCAATGTGCTAGAAGGTATTAAACTCATTCAGAAGAAATTCAAAAACAATATACAGTGGAAGTAAGTACATATTTTTGGTGTTTAAATTTGTTATATCATTTTTTTTAAAGTATTAGAACAGTATTGTCTGGAGACCCTTGATACTCTTTCATCGGACCCTAGATACTACTTTGTGGGACTCTGGATACTTCTTTGGGGGACTGCATACCACTGTATTCCAAGACCATGGATAGCTTTCAACCATCTTTAATAATGATATTTTTTGTGAACACCAACATTTCAACCGACACCTACCAACGTATTGCTGATAGATATTTTTGTTAGGACAACACGCTAAGAACCACAGTATTACCCAAGCAGTATTGAGTCCAACAGTGTCTGCACCAATTACAGGATGGAAATATAAAATATATAAAACTTACACAATATCATTAAAAAGCCAAAATTATTTTAAAATAAAATAAAGATTATTTAACCAACTCAAATGTAATAGACTTAAACATAGAAAAACTACAATGAAAAATGCTGGACTGTCTTATCAATGAAATGTTATTTATCAAACCTAGTCTGAATAAAGAAAGTGACTGTCAAAGCTAAGCCCTTTATCTATTAAACTTGGGGGAGTAATATCCCACTGGTACAAACTTTGAAATTCTAGTTTACAACTTTTGTTTTATAGATTATAAGCAGTTGTATTCCTCATTATTTGAACTTGAAAATGACACCATGAAGGAGTTGAATCGTCATTCTTTTTTTAGCATTATTTTTCTTCTAAGATACATTTTGTAATCTCATAAATATTAACATTGAGAAGAAAAAAGAATACAGCCCTATGTACTTTCAGAAAGCTGTGCATTATTTTTTAAAAAATACTAAAATACCGTACTCCGTGCCTGGGAGTAGGGTATTTCTGAGGGGCACTTTTTGATTGAAAAATGATTATATAAGAACATTACGAATGGTGGTGTGGCGGAAAAGATAATCCTCCAGAATAGCAGATGCAATTAGTGGAGGTGGGTAGTGGTTAGCTTGTTGGCCATCAGCCGATCAAGATTAGCAGGATGGCAGGATCATTGCAGGTTTTTTTGAAAACTCAGATGAGCCTAGACAAGTATATAAGAAGAGGAATGTTGGAAATATACTGTCTGTCAAGGGATCGGAGCTCTTATCTGTCTGAGAGAAAAATCCTCATTTTGATATTGACCTAAGAAGAATAGTGTTCCACTCTGCAACTCAAATCATGCCAACAACCACAGTCCCAGGATTGATTGGATTATTGACTTGCTTAAAAAAAATCTTATGATATCATTGAGGGGGCGCTTATTCAAATTAGGAGGGGTGCTTATTCAAATGGGGTGCTTATTCGTGCAAGTACGGTAATTAATAAAATTGTATTTTGTCTGTTTCATAGGGGTGCTTGTAACTCAGTCGCTGTAAGAAAAGATGGAGAAGGTTTACCAATCAGTGCTGAATCAGTTAATCTTCATGCAGGTAACATATTTAAAGTTATTTTTACAATTAAACAAAGCAAACATTATTAGTATTAAGATAACCAGGATTTAAATAAAATTATATGTAAAATATAGTCCATATCATTATCAAAATAATCTTGGTTTATTTAAGCAATTTCTTTTTATCGGGTTTTATATATTACCATCATTGGAATTGTGTATGTGTAGTAATGTAATTGATTCATTTTTCATGTTTGTAGTTGTATTTGTAACAAAATCTTTAATAGGTGTGTTAATGTAGTGAGCTAATTTAGTACAGGTTGTTGTACTGTTGTTACATGTTATAAACAAAACCAGAAAGAGTTGTGAAATCTAATGTTTTTTCCATAAAAATTTCAAGATATTGCTGATTTAGAGGTACGTGAGAAGAGGATAGATGAACTTATACAAAATGCAACACTTCAACTTAAGATGTTAACTGAAGATAGAGAAAATCAAAGATATCCTTTTATAATTAGAGCCAATATCATTTATCAAACATCATGCAACAATATGTTGTATATTGATTATTTGAGGTAGGTAGCTTTCACTAAGTACATAGAACCAATTGAATGTAACCCTGCATGTTGAGGGCTCACTTCTGATCTGTAATTTGTAAGAGCAAGTGTGTGGACAGAAGAAAAATGTACATTCTGACTATATTTGAGAGATATTCCTGCTATATTCCTTGACTATCGTTTTACATTTGCATATGTAACGTATCATGATATTCGTAACATTCAAAGTTTCAATGATCAGACAGTGATAGCAATAAAAGCTCCACCAGAGACCAGACTGGAGGTGCCTGACCCAAAAGAGGTAAGTTAATAAGTCAAGAGGTAGGCCTCCAGATTCCTTTTCAACACTTGGTGCCAATAACAGGATGCCTTATAAATGTTATAATACATTCATTATTTTATATTTGAGGCTTGCCATCCCAAAACCAGCATCGGTGACCAAAAAGTGAAAATTAGCTTTTTAATATTTTCTTATTCTCCACATTATAAGCTTTAAAATGAAGGGTCATTTACTGGAATCAACTTACTATTGCCAAAGTTATGAGTAAAAGTATTACAGCTTCTCTGTATTAAAGTATACAATACTGACACATTCTAATGCTAATTAATCAGTTTAACAATATAGTGACAGTACGCTGGTGTTGGGTTGGCAAACCTCATGTATATAAAGATGGCTTTATGTACAAAATGCCTTATCATAGGGTTTACATCTGTACTGTTGGTTATTTATTGAATAATCCTCTCAAACCATTGTTAAAAATTAATGAAGTATATAATTTTACCTTAGACAACACTGCACAACTTAACATTGTCGGTTCACCTTAAATCACTTGTTCACCTTGATACCTATGGTTCTTATCTTGTCACTTTATAGTGTTCATTTTATATATGGACACTGTTTTGTTATACTGGGTATTTTTAATTTATTGTTATTGTATTCTCCATAGGGTGTTCAAATATGGTTGAAAAGCACAAAGGGACAGATTGAGGTATACTTGTGTCCAGAGGAAGCCCAAGATGAGAACATCCCCCTTTCAGAATGCAGCAACTCGTCCTCCAGCAGTAGTCTAGGTAAGGTGATGCTAAGAATGGTGAGAGATGTTTTAACTGTAATTTGGTGGCCTTTATATGTACATGTTTATCAATGATATAATGTACTACACATACTTTTTTACTTCTTTGATTATTGTTTTGTTCTCTTGCCTGCAGATTTAGAATGTAGACAGTAAATAATAAACCAAATACTGTTTACCCACCAATTCAAGACTACCTGAAAATCTGGAGAGGTCTCAGGGTTTAGTAAATTACAGGGGTCTTGAATTGGAGGGCGAACTATAGTATACTGCATTTGGTTTATTATTACAGTATGTTTGGATTACTAAAGGATTAAGTAAGAATGTTATAAAAGAGTTATCCCACAAAGAACTAGACAGTTATTTTATTTGGATGTGGAAAAACATCCAAATAAAATAACTGTCTAGATCATTTTACCTATTAATGCGAACCGTCATAATTTATGTCTGTACTAATTGCCTAATTCAAAGCAATTATACAATATATACAATAATTCAGTGTGTGACAATCCCTTCCCATCGCCGACTGGCACCCGTGACATGCTGGTGACAATCCTGCATGACTAAATTTCGATTTTTTTTTTTTTTTTTGCATTTTTCAAACATTGCAGGTAGTGCTCCCTTTAAGGTAGAAACTATTGAAGAAGATTTGGAAATTGATTGTCTTCAAAAGAGCCTACTCCTTCAGACTGATGATCAGAACTCTGGTGATATGGACGACTTTGTTCCACTTTCACCACCTATGGTGGAAGATTATTTATTTACCCTTGGCGAGGATGAAGGGATTTCAGACTTGTTTGATGCATATGACATGTTCAGCCAATAAGGGAACTTCTGACAGAAGACTTGCTACAACTTGAATACATGCCACTTATTTATTGACATCCATCTCTAAAGCAACCTAGACTGTATGGATGTGTAACCAAAGCTGTTATTAGCTGAATTTTATGGCTGGGCTTGATATTGATAACAGGACTTAAGGCTTCATGAGATTTACAATGTCTAAACAAGTGTCTGAAGAATCTTCTTTATTTACTTGAACAAAACAAGATCTACTCCATGTCATTCTGAATATTAAAACCTACAGTTTTAATACTGAAAACTCTATTTCACTATTGTCTGTAAATGAATTATTGCATTGGTAGTCACCTATTGATTTAAATTTGATTTTATTATGTATTCATATAATCATGTTTGTTCCATCTTTTTCATTTGCCAGATACATGTATCAGCATTTAGTATCATTTCAAGGATATTGCATCAATGTTAACCATAATTGTTAGTATACAGTACTACATTGTTTGTAGGAAGTAAATTGATTACTGAAATTCAAATAATTGAAAATACTGAATCTAAAAAGAAGGATAAACAAGAGTTTGATAAGCAGATGTACAAGATTCATATGTAGAGGCATTGAGTCCAAGACAATTATAGTATGTGGTTGCTTGTGTTTACACAATTTGTTGTTATTTGTATGATCCTAATTCTATTGGGTTACCATTGTTACTTGGTTGGAATTATCCAAGACTTGCATTTGAAAGCGGCGGATTTAGGCGGCGCCCCTCCCCCTTTTGGAAAGTAAAAAAAATAAAAAGAAAGAAAGAAAAAAATTGATCTCCCAAAACGTCTTGGAGGTTATTTTTGGGCATCTAGAAGACAATTTCGTGGAGGCATAACTCAAAACTCATAACTCACTTTATTGCAATCGTATAACAGATTGGATAATACAAATATTCAGAGTAGGAAATAAAACATAAACAGGCACAATAAAAGGCATTCATAGAAAAAGAAACAAAAATTCAGCCGATCAAAATTAAAAATGTCATCTATACAAAAATTATCTGTTATCCATAATTACTATTTACAAAAACTTCATAAAAATCACAAGAACAGGCAATTTCTAAATGTCAAAAATTCATTCATATAATTAAAATTTATCATTATTTACAAAAATTTATAAAAATATAATTAAAAAAAAAAAATATGGTTGCTTGTGTTTATACAATTTGTTGGTACCCCCTAGTACTGTATTATCTCGATCGGGGCCCCCCTTTTTCAGACTTCTGGATCCGCCCCTGTCTACAGCACATTTTTGGCTGAATGAATGAGCTTGAGGTTTATTTGCTTATTTCATTTAATGGACTACTGCATTAGGCATATCTGGTAGAAAGTAAAGATTCAAAATGCAATTTCATTTAGAAATGAATTCCCTGAATATAGGAGTGGGTTGCAAATTTTTATGGTTGATGCTTTATCCTTGGAAACAAAATGTGTATTAGGAAGTATTTAGAAATCCAAAGAAAAAAAATAAAACAATGTATGATGTAGTGTAATGTGCATTAAATTAGAATGCATCTAAAATTCATCTCTTTATAAATGAGCTCTTAAATTGGGAATTGGAGGTATTCGTCAGCATGATTGAATAATTGTACAGCACTTTGTTAACATAGATTCTGAGATAAACAGCGATATAAAACTTTGTGATTACTTTTTTATACCAATGTGTTGACATGTAAGTATTAATTATTAGACTGCCGATTAATTTAATTATTTTTGTTTCTTTTCTAACTTGTATTAATTGTGTAAATACTGGGGAAGTTCAGAATGTGTGTGAATCATTGTTGTGTTAAATGTATAGCATTGCATTATTTCTGTACTAACTTGAAGCGCCTTGAGCACTTTAGTGGAGATGTGCGCTTAATAAATCTTATTATTATTATTATTATTAAATATTACTTTAAAGCATGAATAATACTGTACATTGCAGTATGACAGATGCTTTGAAATCCCTCAAATATTACTGAATAATGTACAGTGAGTGTTAATGTTAACACCTATACCCATTTGTCAATCTGCCTGTTAATCATAATGATTCTAATAAAACAATGTAGCATTTATGCTGATTTCACAATTGCCTTTGGCAAGTTGCTGTACTAATGATTTAGCAAGTATTTTATTATTTTTTATTGTTTTTCTCTGTAGCAGATCTGTGCCTAAATGTTGGGGTACATACAATTGGTTTGAAATTATTGGCAGTTCCATGTATATTATTATTCTGCTTAAAAAGCTTGAAAAATTACAAAATAATGCAGTGTAGTGCTGTTGTTTTTAGTGGCCATTTTCATTGGTAAGCGTAACACTACAGTACTTAATTTATTATTCTGATAACTTTGCTAGGATTTAGGTTTTACTAAACAATTGTATATGTGTTGAATTTGTTCTGTTTAATGATCACTCGCCACTGTGGAAGGACTAGTGTTGTCCGAAAGCTCTGGTTCTATTTCTGGCAGTTTACTTTTTAACTGTTGCTTATCAAATTTGTATCTTTACCGAGATCCAGGCATGTTCCAAAAAATGGCTATGAATAATATAAAATATATTTATGTCGCCGTAAACAGATGACTAGCCAAAATTACAGATTTACATAAACCCTAATGTGCAAATGTCGTCGTTAATGCTATTTTATACAAACATTTTAGGTGACTGGAGTGTTATGTGTATTTGCTTTTGCCTTCAGTACTTGGGGTGATGGTTGCAGCAGGGCACATCAGACAAGCAGTATTACAGTAGCATTAGTAGTAGTGGGTGTGAATTTGAGCATAAGATGATAGTCTAATGTGTTGAAGCATTTATTGCCTTAAAAAAAGGGAACACAAAGGCACCACAAACCCAAGGGTGTGTGTACATAATGTGCTATTTGGTTTGGCAAACTAAACGTAAATATATCCACTGCCTAAAATAACAAGTCAGACTTGTACGAAACTCTTTCAATTGATTACCAACTAGTGTACCAGTCTATGTGAAGTGTATTGAAGCAGAGTTATACATCTGTTTAAAAAGAATTCCTTGAGTCAGATCACCATTTAATATAGAAACATAGTAAATCAATTTAATGTTATTTTTCAAGATTTTTAAATAATGCTGGTATTACATGTATAACACAGCTAAGGAGTAAATCTTTTAAATCTTATTGTACACTTAGGTTTTTATAATTGGAATTTATAATTATTGAAATAAAGTAGTGTTGGTACACTATGTATTTTCTTCTGTCAAAATTAACTGCATCATGATTATAGCAATACTAAATCAGGATTATCTGTTCCTAGTAAGCGGGAATCTTCATTTTTGATATGTATAGAAGGTCAAAGATGAACAATGTGATGCTCTCGGGGTTTTCAAGCAACATAATACTCAACATCACCAAACGAGGGGCACTGATTTCTCACAATGATTATAGTAAGGAAAGAGGAGTGTGTTGCACAATTTGTATTTCTTAGTTCTGTACTGTATTTAATTATTTTATGACTTCTTCGGATAAAACATGAGCCAGTAGGAATAGTATCGTGAATGATGAGTTCACGGCCCTCCCCCAATCCCCCAAGTGTGGCACCACGATATGCTCATTTGGGGGGTGGGGGTGGTGTGATTGATTTCTCGATAAAAGCGTAAGTGGGCGTGGTTTAGGGCGTTGCTCAATAAGGTCTCCGACGAATTATTTTTTTTCTCCCCAGCGGGTGGGTGGGGGAGAGCTTTCCCCGACAGGGGACTAGCCACCGCCACCCCCATTGGTGTTTTCCCTAAAAAAATGGCTTCGTAGGTGCCCAAATATGCTTTCTATTGCATTGACAACACAGTTTTTGCATGATATCGTCGTGTTCATGAGTGGAAAGCCATGAATAACACTTTTTTTTTCCCATTTAATTGTTAAAAAAATAGCAACAATCATACTTTACCAGAAATTCATACCAGGTATTGGTAAACCTCACAAACAATGGGTTGATATGAACATCTAATTATTTTTTTTTTAAAGAAAATGAAAGTTCTACAATCATAATTAAAGGGTTTGGATGGGGTTTGCAGTGTGTTTTTGGAGGTTTGTGGTGTATTTTCAATTATTTTTTCACAAAAAAAAATCAACATTTTAACCAAAAAAAAAGTTATGAATGTATTTAATTTTCTTGTTGATATACCAAGTGAGTCAATCACAATTGAATTGTTTGGTTTCCTACAGTGTGTTTTGGGAAGAGTTTGTGGGATTTGGCTACATTGTACCATTAATCCTACCATAATTACCCTACCCTTACAATTACACGCAATTTTAATTCTTAGCATAATTGCCATATTTACATAACTATGTATATATAGTATATCTCAGTTTACATTATTTATTATAGTTTTGAAAATAATAAATTGACAGAAAAAGAAAATTATGGCCACTGGTTTCTGAGCCAGTAGTAGGCACTTGGATTTAGTTGGCAGGCAATTAAATACGTTGCTTAAATAAATACATTCCTAATTATTCAGTTTACTGAAAACAATACTTGATTAACAAATACTTCTTTGAAGTAAGTCTAAGCAAAACATTTATTGCTAAGTTTGTGAGAAAGTAAGCCTCTTCCCATACATGAACCTGTGATTCAAACACACAATTGATCCACATGCTTTAACTACTGTTTATTTGCATTGTTAACATGTAAAGTTATTTCATTTGAAACTTAACAAAAGTGAATTTTGTGGTTATCTATGAGTTGCATATTTTGATAGTTGAAGTACTGTATGTATGTCATTCCTCTACTTTGTTATTGAAATAATGTTTCTAAAACTTTTATTTCTACTATCAAAAAATGTTAATCAATACTTTTAGAGAAATTTAAAAAAAAATCACATAAATTGAACTTATTTTTTTTTAAGGAAAAAATAAAACTTATTTTATAAATTTACAGGGTATTTTACAGCATTTAAAATTTATTTATTTTTATTGAATTTTATAATTGGGGGCCATTTTTTATTTATTGATTCAATTCTTGCTATTACAGTATTTAAATATTCAATTCTTGCTATTACAGTATTTAATCATTTCTATTACTGATTTTTTTTCATTGGGGCCATTTTTGCCTACATTCTGTTGTGGCTGAACATCCCTCCAATCCTTTACAGTTAACTATAATACCTGTATGCTTAACCTGAATAGATAAAGAATGCATCTATTTAAGTTTATCGAAGCATTAGTAGAATGTTACGCTCTCTTAATCACTGTATAGATATTAAATAGGGCTACATTATTTCCTTATTCGTGTTCAACCACATTCTGTACCCACTTCGATGGCAGTTGATAACATAATACAGCGATGTAAGGACAAATCCAGCTTCTATTTTTTCCAGTGTTGTTTCCTGGGTTTTGTTACTTGCAGTGTCATTAAGTATGACTTTGATTTCTTTTTTATATTCAGTTTGCCCTCCAATTTGAGACCACCTTTGGGACCTGAAAATTTGGGGTGGTCTTGGGGTTGGTCTCCAGTTAGAGGGCTGCTTTGTGTTAAAAGGTTGAAGATTTGTTGTTTGGGTCTTTAGAAAAGTGGTCTTGAATTAGAGAGGGGTCTCAGAATTAGAGGGGTCTGGAATTGGAGGGTGCAGTATTAGCTTGATGTTTTGTGTTTCATATTTATAGATGCTAATCTGGATTATGAAGAGTTTAATTGGACTGATTGCACTGATGTGTGTTTGGCTACGGGCCAACGCAACCAATGCAACTGAGGTAAGCATATGTTATGCTTAATCATATTAGCATATGATTAACAAACGTTCGCTTCAGACAAATCAAACATGATATTGTAGCGAGTTGTAACATGGAGAGACGTATTTTTGATCAAAACGTAAAAGGTGATATATTTAATGAAAATGGACTTTTTTTTAGAACAATTGGTATATCTATCAAACTAATGTTTTTACTGCTACTGCATTTTTCCTTTATTTATTCAATGGATTGAATGTTTGATGATTTTAACATGTTATTAATGTGTCATTAATGCATTTGTGTCATTAATGCATTTAATGTTAATAGCAATTGAGAGCAGCTTAGCTCAGTCAGCTAATTCGGTGGTAGCCACTGTGTGTGCGCTGAACCGTGGAGATCTCTAGGTTCCCGGTTCAATTCCCATTGCTCTCCTTGTGTTTTTAGCTGGAGGGCTAAAATACAAGTTACAATAGCGCATTGTCTTTCGGATGAGACCGTTGGTCCCGTGTGCCGTGTATCTTATATTTAAATAGGTTATTTGCTGCTTTAAATTAATGAAAAGAAATAAGAAGGGAAGGAAGAAAAAATTGTATTACATTATGTGTGCTTTATATACATGTTAATTTTTGAAAGAGTGATGGCAAAATAGCATTAAGTATGCTTTATATTATTTTTTATTGTATTTAATGTGCCTATGTTGTGTTATGTTTTTATATTAATGCAAATAAAAGAAAAAAACAAGATAATCTATAAAAAGTATATTTAAACAGCATGTGTATGCAACGCATAAAACTTCACTACTGGCCAAGTACGCTATAAAGACAAATGCGGCACCTCTCTTTATAAAAAAAAAAGTGAAACTCTCAGGCAAAGTGATTCAAACTGTATACACAACTTATGTTACAATTGTGAGTACATGTACAATTTCTTTTTACAGGATTCTTGTGGCTCAACCCAAGGCTGTTTCCGAGACCCTGAGGACTGCTTCCCTGCCTCTTCCTGCCAATATTTTGTTGCATGGAATCGTAATAGTCTTTCAGATTCCGTCATTGACTTTGAGTTAAGCGTAGCGGTGACATCTGGAGATACGTATGCTGCAGTTGGATTTTCAGAGAATAATTTAATGGTATGTGATCATATTCAATAGGATTAGAGTCAAACATTAATGCTGGGGTCAAGAATATTAGATAATAACCGGAAGTATGATATGTGACCTTACATTTTACATAATTTTCAAGCAAAATAATCGTTTACTGTCTTATATACCCAAACTATCTCAAATAGAAGCCCAATATAGGCCTAATCTCGAGATGAAGCCCATCTCGAATTGAAACCCACTCCCTTCCTTTAGTTTGCAAAAGTAGCCTCAAAAAATAGGCTTCTTTTCAAGATAGCATGGGCTTTTTTTTTTTAGGTACACTGTACATGAATTTCAAACAAAATAATTTAAGAACACACTTGGTTAGTTTACTAGGTAATTTATTGCCGATAAATACACTCCATGATACAGACTGATGTTACAGTGGCCCTATTTATTTATTGTTTACTCTTTACTTTACAAAAGTTGTTAGAAAAGAAGCCCATTCAAAGGGAATCTTCAAGAGCTTTGCCCAAGAATAATGAATAGGGCAAGGATTCGAACATAAGACCTATGTTAAGAATAGACAATTCATGGGACTCAACCTCAAATCTGAACGCTAACTACAAAATAATATGCATCCACGTACAACTTCCACACAAGAATTTGTTGATATATATATATTGAACACCACCATAAATAAAAGATTTTGAACTTTGACATCTTCACAAATATGATCCTAAACCTAGATATTATAGTACTGCTTCTTTTCAGTTTAAACTAAATTGTTATCAACAGATATGCAATAAATGTGTTTGAATAATATAAAAATAATTTTAGTCCACTGAATAATGAGACCATGGCCAACCTCTCATTATTCGCAGTAACATTTGTTATGTGTTATCTAAACCGTTATTTTTCTTATTTATACCGAAGCCTGGTTCTGATGTATATGTTTGCCGTTCAGACGGGACACTTCAGCGTTATTATACTGGCGGATACAGTCAAAGCCAAGTCACTACAAGAGCTAATGTAACCCAATTGTTTTATGCATATCATTAAAAATTCTGAGTAATCTGTAACAGTTTAACTTGTTATAAATACTTTATTACTTCGCATTATTACCGTATATAAAAATGTGCTAACTTACTTCTAAATATTATAAAGGATATTTATTATTGTTAGGTCAATTGTCCCATATATATTGTTATAATTCATAAAGATTTCAAATGATTATTGTATGACTAACAGTCTAGACTCTTAAAACAATGAAATAATATGATACCCTATTAAAGTTTAATTACAAAGCAAATAAGGAATGAAAATACTGTTTTTTAGTCGTCAGTAAAACACAGTGTCACATGACCTGGTGTCGTTAATATCATGGGATTGGAAAGCAAGCATCCTAACCACCGAGATAGATCCTCACCTCTTAATTATAAAAAAGTGCTGTTCTGCATTTCTTACCTGTGATATTTAAACTAATAATAAACACCTTTTATTTATTTAGGCTGCAAATTGTTATAATTGATAATTTCAACTTTTTTTAGAAAGGATTATATAATATTGTTGTGGATGCTGTGACAGATGGCATTCTTCATTGTACCTTTTCAAGAAACGTGGATTTGGACGATGGGGATGCTGAGTTTCTTAATCTAAGTATCCCGCTCTATATTATTGGAGCCACATCTACAAGAAATGGAGGTAAAATTAGTGTTAATTAAAGTTTGCAAATTGAATTTGTACCAATTTTACTCTTTTTTCACATCCAATGTATAATAGTCATATGGTAAAGACAGACAAGATTAAATTCAAAAAATATGTAGTGTGATTGATATTTAACTTATTAGTCTGGATTTTGGCATTTGGTATTTAAATCAAAGCTGTTGGTCCTGTTGATGACATAATTATTGTTGAAATATTAAATCCCGACACGATGGCGTGCATTTCGATACTAGGAGTATGTATTATACTATCTTATCTGAAAATTATCATTGGTAGTCGTCCCCGTCATTCTAATAAATTCAATTATTTATAGTATATTTTACTTTTAAGATTCATAAAATAGATAACTAAATGAATACATAAAAAACTATCTTATGAAATTTAAACTAGGCCTATATTATTTAAAATAATTTGTGACGGAACACTCAGTTAATCTGGGTTGGAGCTTCAACACATAATTTTAATGTGCTATATATAGTGTAGATAAATCGTATATTTGTTTATTGTTATGAAAAGTTGTTTATTAAAGGTAAGCCAATAACATGCTTTAATTTACACTGATTTAAATGTGACGTAGAAGTGATTTATTTTTTATTTACGTGATGTATTTTGATTTAAATGTGACATAAAAGTGATTTACTTGTGATTTATATGTGAATAAATGCTATTACATACAGATTTACAATTATTTAATGCGATTTTCATGTTATATGTCATTTTTAAAAATTTTTATTTTATTCCTGTGTAACTCAGACACATTGAACTATCATAATAACAACCGATGGATTACAAGCGCTACTGTGGATTTGTTAGCTACTGGTCCTGTACCAGGTAAGATGAGATAGGCCTATGGATATTTTCAGATACATAGCTGTACAATGAAACATTCCCGATTGGACAGAACATTATTTTAAAGCATTTATAAAATATCATTAAAAACCGATGAATTTTTTATTTGTTTTAAGACTGTTCTTATACACAGCTAGATGTGTATAAGAGACAGAATTACTTTTTCACACTCCACCAACGAATATTATGTGTATACAGTAAATAGAATACTAATGAATAAGTATGCGTTCCATATGAGTTTTGATGAAATTTTATTATTATTTATCATTATAATTATTGTGTTGTAATTTAACAGACAATCCGCATTACAGTTGAAAGACAAACTGCTTTGTTGTAACGGTAATATTGTTGATTTTTGACAGTGGAGGATTTAATTGTTGTCGCTGATATAAGCTCCTCTAGAATACTCTACACAGAGATTAATCATCAAGAAACGGTTAGTTTCACCTTCAATCAGTTGACCATTTCTCCACCACCTTTAAAACCTGTAGCTGTGGACTTTAATTCAGACACCAAATACTTTTATTGGTCAGATGTGTCTGGAAACAGTATTTGTCGAACTCGGGGGATAGATTCTACAAAAGAAACAATTGTATCATTTGACGGAATGGGTGAGTTTAAATTGCAACAATCAGGTATCTATAAACTGATAATTTTGATCATGATAATGTGAAGTGTACTCTATCACATTAAAAATTTACATATTTAATCCAATTTTAAGTTCTTAACTAATGTGTTGATATGATTCATAAGAAAGTATAATACATACTCCAAGTATTGAAATACACGCCATCGTGTTGGGATTCAATATTTCGACATTAATTATGTCATCATCAGGATATGATTCATTGTCCCAAATTCGATCAGATAAAATAACTATACTCAAATTATTTGATAGAATTGCACCTATCAAACCAGCGGTTATGGAAATAGATGAAAATTGAGGGGCTCATGGGGATTTGGAAAATTCAAGCAGCGCTTTTTTAATGAAAAAAATTATATAAGGTCAACTGGACTGGAAATCGAAGATAAACTAATGGTTCTGATGTAGAAAAGATAATCCTCCAGTGAGCATGGCTCATGACAAGGATGCTATGAGCATTTACACAACAGCATATGAAATTAGTGGTTTTGATGGTGGTGGTAATTGTTGGCCATCTGCCGATAGAGATTAGCAGGATCATTGGAGGGTTTCTTGCAAACTCATATAAAAACAGGGGCAGATTTAGGGGGTGGGAATCTAGAAAGTTGGATTATTTTCTTGTTGAAAGAAAAATCACACGATATTGTTAAGGGGCGCTTATTCAAACAGGGCACTTAAGAAAGGTTTTACGTTAGGAGGGGAGCTTATTCGAGAGGGGCGCTTATTCAAACAGGGTGCTTATTCGCGCGAATATGGAATTTTCATTAGGTATTTAATAATTGACTATTCATGTTTCTTTGTTTTCAGAGGTTGAAGGACTTGCTATTGATAGGATTGGTAAAAAGCTTTATTGGACGGATATTGGTTGGGGAAGTATTGAGAAGAGTAATTTAAATGGAACTGAAATAGTTCCACTAATTACTGAAGATATATTTAGACCTAGAGCAATAGTACTGGATGTTACAAAAGGGTATGCTAAACATAAATGCATTGAGAGATATTTGACTGTTCTGTTCAGTTTATGCACATTATAGTTCTACCACAAATGCATATCATTACACTGACCACAAATATTTGATAAATCATTCGATTAATCTATCATTCAATTAATAAAGAAATCTTGAAATATCACCCAATATATCATTACAATTCATGAAAATATATATAGTTTTATTCTAAGCTTTAGTTTAAATTTTATATTTTAGGCATATGTATTGGACGGACTGGGGAACAATACCAACAATTGAAAGAGCAAATATGGAAGACGGAATGAATAGGACCACTTTGGTTAGTTCAGATCTACGATACCCAAATGGCCTAGCACTGGATCTTTCTGGTGAGTCAATAAACAATAGAGAATAATCAGGCTTTGCTTCTCACATAATGAAACTATGTGGTACAGTATTCCTAATTGTAAGTGATGTCTGTTAGTTGTATCGACAGGAACTTTAGTTGTCGTAAATTTCTGAATGATATAATTGACCATTATGGTATAATATATCAGAGGCACCAACATTTGATATTTATTGTATTGACCAAAAATTATGGTATGTTGTTTGCTTTCAACAACCAAATAGGTAAACCATGATATTTTGTAAGGACATCTGATAGCCATTGGAATGATGTTTGACCAACTTGACATACTGTATACACAGTACGTCACCCCCAAATACTTGTGAAAACAATCTTGCAAGTGATTCCAATAGGAATCGTACCCTCGGCCTCCAGACATACGCTTAGTATAGTCGAAGTCCCACAATATTGTATTACCGCGGTAGATTTCATCTCTACAGTGTACTATTATACATGTTTATTATATGAACAAATAGGTAAACGATTACGTATAACCTGGTAATATTTTTGTATCATTTCACTGATTTAAAAAAATCAATATAGTGACCGTTACTTTTTTGTCAATAGAAAACAGACTATACTGGTGCAATGCAAGAGATCCGGGAGATCCGGGAAGGATAGAATACTCAGATTTGCTTGGAGGACAACGTACTACACTTTTGGAAGGCTCAGATAATTACATTTTATATCCATTTTCTATTCGTGTTTTTAAATCTTATGTTTACTGGACTGACTGGAATCAGAACCACACATTGCGTGCAAATAAACTCACTGGAAGCAACATTACTGAAATTGGTGAAACTTTGCATGAACCCGCAGGATTGTATATTCATGAATGTGAGTTGATTTGACATGCACACATTTGTAGGCCTAATCTAATGTCTTTTGCAAGACTATTTCATCATGAATTATTATTATCTCGTATGTTAAACTAGATCATGTACAACAAATCATTCAAAATTGGTGAGGTATTCCACCAGTTGAGGGTTGTCAACCTCAGATAGTGGGCAAGGAGGTCCAATCACAGCACACTCGCTAATAACATGTTATTGAGTCTGTATGTGCCCACAAGGACAAAGATCACTTTCTGCAATGCCCCACATTTTGATTTTGGATGCAAAACGTCCAGCGCCTGATTGTAGCCTGTTTAGTTGCACCCAAGCCTTCCTATTTTCAATGGTTTAATATTTGGTAATGGTAGATGTGATATAACAACCATTAGTGAGCGTAGCTGTGTTAGTGAGTAAATAATGACAACTAAAAGTCAAGATTTAGTGGTTTTATACCAATTAGGTTTAGGTAGTAAACAGATACCTTATTAGATTTGGCCTGAATCTACTTTGAACATTTGAACACAGAGATCTAGCTTGTTTGTTCGACTAAATACATTATTATCAGTCGAAGCCCTACTATAGCTTTCATGAAAGACAAACAAAGCCTGCCCATGACTGACACTGTGCGTCCCTGCGGTAGTGGAACTTTCATATCATTCGACTCTAGCTATTTCTCCCTCCTGTTATAATCATACACTTTTAGAGATCTTAGGAGATTTTATACCAGAATAATAAAAAAATAAAATAAAATGATGATATTTTAGATAAGATATTAACTACACAAGTCCTTGTTTGGTCCCTTGCTGGTCTTTATTCAACATGGTTTGCCAACAACGAAGTAATTTCTTGTACTGTATTTTTACTTTCACAAGACCAATAAAAGTTCTGTGTTCTGTACTCTATATTACTGTACAACAACATGTTCAAGGTGACTGAACTCCAGGCTACTTAGTTTAGGTTACTAAATTTAGAATCCTTTAGAGCAGAGACAGCTTCAAGAGTATCTCTCTAATGTCTGACATGTTCTCCTGCTTTTCTCTCTAAATTCTCTCTCATTGGTATCATTGGGTGTTTCTCTATATACCCGCTACTCTTGGAGATGAGGCTAATTAAGTCACCACATGTTTTTAGGGCTTCCGATTTGATCATAGAAAAAATTGTTTTCTCTGAGTTAATAACCTGCTTGTTGAAATACCCTTAATAATTGTGATGGATTGATCTGCCAAAAGTTTGTCTCCATAGTAAGCAATTAGTAGAGGTCCGCATAGTACACTATAGGAAAATTATTATACAAAGGTTAGATTTAATGCTTGAAAAATTACCGAAGGAAATTTTTGAATGCATTAAATCTAACCCAAGTATAATAATTTTCCACTAGTGTACGATGCATGCTCTACTAATTGCTTTATAATTCAATCGCCGTCTTTAGCGTTAGTTTTAACAAGGCAATTTGCCTGGTTTCGATAACCAACTGTTGCAGTCATCGGTTGCTATAGTGATATGATCAGTATACTGTGTGCGTAGCTGTACGCTGTAGCTGTAGCTGATGATCAAGTACTGTCAGTACGACGGATAACTTGTATTTTGTTAGAATTGTTTGTAATGCATTTTGATAGACATTCGTTAAAGAAATAACATTTTTTTGAAGCATTCGAGAGAGAATACAATCACTGACTTATTGGTCAGTGCAGACAGGTAAAAATCGTGCGATGATTTCATAACTACGCTAGGCTACATCCTAGGTCTAGCACTAGCCGTAGGAGGAAGCCTGGGTGTCCTCCTGCCTGGCCGTAGGCCTGCATCTAATTCCGTTCTTTAAGTCTTTAAAATAGGTCTAGAATATTCCAATTAAATGTTCAGTTTGTTTAGTTTATCAGGTTTTATTGATTCAAGGAATTCCTTAATTGTTCATACTTAATATTGAATTTGAAGTAGCTTTCTTTGGGTTCTAATTAATTCAATTTTCATCGCGATATCTTCGCGATGACGAAAAATTATTTATTTTTCTTGAAAAAATTCTAGCCAAGCGTTCACTATAGCCTATTGAAAAATTATCAGACTGAGGGGGATAGGCAAATAACATTGGGAGTTGCAGTGATGACGTCACGATTGACTTATAATGTCATTTATAGCACGACAATGTTTGTTTGTTTGTTTATTATTTATTGCCCTCATTATTATAACATCAAAACAAAAGAACAAGTACATAAAAACACACAAAAATGAGAGCAAGAAAAGAAAGAAATGAGAGCAAGAAAAAAAACTTTCGCCCTGTCTCAATGCTTTCATTCCTATCAAAGATCACTGAACGGGTCATGTTTGAAAGACTTAATGACTATTTCGTTTAATCTAATACCTACATTACAATCTGCTTACCGACAGTACCATAGTGTTGAAACTGCCCTCTTATGTATTGCCAAGTGTTTTGCACTCTCTTGACAAGTCCAAAGGTGTTATCTTGGTTTTGTTGGATTTGTCATCAGCGTTTGATACAATTTATCACGCTTTATTGTTGAACACGCTCAAAGAATCTTTTGGCATTTCCGACAAAGCTCTCCATTTGCTGTACTCTTACCTTGATTCCAGGTCTTTTCGTGTTAATGTTGGGTCGGAATTTTCCAACACATTCCCTTTGAAGTATGGCGTTCCGCAAGGTAGCCACACTTCCTTGCGGAATTTCATCTGCTACACTTCTAGTCTTTCTAACATAATCACTAGACATGGTTTAAATTTTCACTTCTTTGCTGATGACATACAGCTTTGGAAACATGTTGGTCTTAATAACTACTGACATAGCCTCGACTCTTTATTCAATAGAGTCTTGTATTTCTTCCATTATCAAATGGACGACTACAATGAAACTCAAGCTCAACCCTCACAAAACTGAATTACTTACTATATTTCCAAAATCTAGAAGCATTCACTCTTTTCCCCCAATTCAGATATCTGTAGAGGGTGTGAATATACCGTCGTCAACTACAGCACGAAATTTGGGTGTACTGTTTGACAATCAGTTTACCTTTCAAAACCACATTTCATCTATCTGTAAATCTGGATATTTTCACCTTAGACCAATTCGATCTATTCGTCCATACATTTCACGCTCCGCTGCTGAAGTACTTGTCCATGCTTTTATCACCTCTAAAATTGATTTCTGTAACTCTTTATTGTATGAGACCTCTACTATTCAATTAAGACCCTTACAAAAGCTTCAGAACTCAGCAGCATGTGTTGTCTGTCTCACTAAACTTTGTGATCATGTTTCACCTATCCTCAAAGACCTTCATTGGCTACCGATATGTAACGCCTAAACATCAAAATTATTCTTCTCACTCATAAATGCATATATGGCTACGCCCCACACTATCTTTCTTCATCGATCTCACAACAATTATCTTCGCGTTCCACAAGACAGTCAAATTCTCTCAGGTTATCTGTCCCCAGAGTGCTGCATGTTCGTACTGGCAAACAGTCTTTCTCTTTTGCCGCTCCGAAATTATGGAACTCTCTTCCACCTAATCTTAGGTCAACTTCTGATACGAATGCATTCAAGACCCTCCTAAAAACCTACCCCTTTAATTAATAACTCTTATCTTTAAGCGCCAGTGACAAAAAATTTTTTTTTTAACAGGCGCTATACAAATTCTCCAATTTATTATTATTATAAGAGGATAACCGTATAAGCTCTATGAGCTTGTTTCCATAGGGGTCCTCGACCAATACAAAGAGAAGCAAATATTTTAAAAAAATTATGTTTTTATTAAATGTTTTTTAAGTAAATATTTAAATGTATTATGTATTATGTATTATCAAATTCCTTTAAAATATTTTGCAATTCATTCCATTTTTTTTATTCCATTATAGTAAACTGTCTTATCAACTTAACTTATGGTTTAGGTCTAATTCACCAGGGGGTTAAATTGCTGTCGTGTATTTAGTGACCCATGGTATAATAGATGGCCAACATACCCTAGATGGACATTTTCACTGCCAAATTAATAGTTGAGACATTTAACAGGTTCCGCATCAAATGAAGCGTATTGATATAAAAATTTCAATAATTATATAACTTAATTATTGAATCCTAAGAAAACAATTAGTGTAATCTTGAGAGGCCGCCAAAAATTGCACAAACTTATTATTATTCTTGCGAATCTCTAGATTCTTGAGTCTTCTGGGTCAAGAGTGCAAGACTGAGATGTTAGAAATAGTAGCTATTTACCTTGAATTCTATCGTTTATAAAAACTCCGGAGCAATAGCAGTGAGAACTGTAGGGGATGGATCGTGAATTATACTCAGTAGTGGGTTACAGAAGGGCTCCAGTCCCTAACAATCAGCGATATTCACATTGTTATGAAGACTAACTTTAGTTTTTGACTTCCAAAATGTCTCATTCTTAAGTGTCTGTGTGCCGTAATTGTATTTTTACGTGAAAGATTACAACTGCCATACCACATTGGCAATTGGTGTGCACTTACAGCTCATGGCTTGAGCAAAAAATCTTATTTTTTAAATTTAACAACTTGTTTTC